CTTTTCAGGCGATGACAGAAGAACTTCAGCTTTTAACTTTAGACAGTGTTTCTTCCTTTCTTCTCCCCTTGACTCCATTTACATCCAGAGATTCATTTATCCATTCTAAATTAGGGCTGGATGATAAAACAATAACTGTCACCTTGTTTCCATTCATCACATTTTTTTCTTCCAAACTGCAATCGATTTTTTTTATCTCACAAATCCACATTAGGAAGATTACAGATATACAATATATTTTTTTAATCAAATCAGATGAAAATATCTCTGCAGCTGTCTGAGAGGTTTTCATAAAGATATCTCAGTTGTAGTAACTTCCTTCATCCATGGGTTATTCTGTCTGCCAAGTGAAAGTCCATGAATGTACCACCCGCAGTTCATTCTCTGTTTGTGGTTACTTCCTTCCGCTTTATAGCCTGACCCACGCTACCAGGGACTTTGAAATTATAGGTTGTTCAAATGATTCCATTGGTTGTATTTTTTGATTGACACCTCTTTTGACCAACTGAGTTCATCTATAGACTCTTCAGAGCACAAAATRTGTGGTAAGCCCCCCATGTCCCACCTGTATGCGGTACACATGATTGACTGACTATAATCAGCCAATCAGCTCTGAGTTTCATTCAAACACCACAGCTGTGTAGCCAATCAAGTTACCTTTTATTTAATGTGCAGCTTCGGAAACGAGAAAGAATATGTATGTTTATAGTGTATATTAACTTCAATAACTAAATACTACTTATTGTTACAAAACTGATGACTGCTGAAATTAAAGATTCAGACGGAACTTTACAGACTAGGCTTGTGGATTTAATACAAAGGTTTCAAGAGATGTACTTAATTTAATTTGGGTTAAGGTTAGGGTTAGACCCACAGGTTGAGGCCCTGTCACACTATAATGTTTTAGACAATGCATGCCAAAATGAAACTTTGGTCCAACATTAATGATGTCTACACAGAAGATGGAATAAAAAAAATCTACTAGAAGCCTGTTTTGGACGTGTATACAATACTAAAAATTAAAAAAATATTCTTAAGCCCAAATAAGTTGTTTAAAAAATGTGACAGGACCTTTAGATTCAAACTCATCTATTAAACCCACATTATTTAGACTAATTGTTTGAAAGGACTTTTAACAAAATAGGTTTTTGTCTCTTTGTAAGGTTACGTCCTGTTTTCACAGATCATTTGAGTGTAATAATTAAGTCAAAGGTGAAAAGCGTCTGATTCCTCATAATTTTTTGTGATTGTTGCAATTTGTTAACCTCAGCTTCAGTCTGAGCATCGATACATGATGGGAATTAGTTGTTCCATTCCTAATTAAATAAAGGTAATAGATTTTTTTCTATCCAGGGATTTACTCTTGATAATTAAAATACTTTTGTTTTTGTTTTACTTTGGCATTCATTTGATCTATTTTACACATCGCTTCAGTATGTTATTTTTTCTTTCGTTTGAAAGTTTTTTTTAGGGATAAAAACAGTTAAATCACAATAATCATGCAGTCTAACTTGTGTGCATGTGTCAAAGCTTTATTTCTGCGCGCACTGAAGTGAAGTAATTGAGCTGTC